AATTAGAAACACCAGTCAGAAGCTCTAGGAGTTTTATGTGCTCATAAATTACAACAGGAGCAACAACTAGAGGTTATCCCTTAATCCACAGGAAAAAGGTCATATTTCAAGAGCACCATTGAAAGAACACTCTGAGGGTGTGTTGCATCTATAAACACCACTTTGGAAAGAAGGTTCACACAATTCCTATCTGGATTTAAGGTCTGCTGAAGCGAGGTGAGAAAGCGTTTTGCTGTTTCTTCTACATTATGGTCACACGAAGGCAAGAGATCAAACTCTGGTCCATTTATTGGGTTATTTAGACCATGGCTTTCTCCAGAAGCTCCTTTGAGGGTCCACAGTATTATACTCAAAATTTAGCAGAGGTTTCCTTGGCATTTGTAAAAAACTGATATAAAATGATCAGGTATATCACACACGGTGTTACATATGGAAACAAACTAGAAGAACCCCACATACCAAAATGTTTGCATTCTACAAGCAAATGAAGCACCATACAATGACTGAATATTCTGCACCTGCCTTAATGAGAAGCTAAATTACTGGAGTAATCACAAACTGCTCCATCCATTTAACAGCAGACCTGGGTCTCACATTACTGCATTGTATTCTGTTGAGCTCTGTCCTATGTCCAAAATGCACTCTGGAAACAGAATTGGAATTTTATTTAGATATCTATACCCAAAGCAGTTTACATCATCATCTTCCCCTCCTCCATTTTATCCTAACAACAACCCTAACAAGGTAGGTTAGACTGAGAGAATGTGACTGGTTCAAAGTTACCCAACAAGCTTCCATGGGGATGAGTTTCCCAGATCCTAGTCCAATACTTTGAAACTATCACACTGCCTGCTGAATCCTGCTTGCTAACAGGCACTGGAGTTATAACTCATGGTCTAGTCCTCTAGGACTGCTTAACTCCAGCAATGAAGAACAGTTCATTTCTCTTCCATAAGCAGAATTTGCTCATGGCTATGACCAATCCCACCCCCACCCCCAAATATGTAACCAGAGTTCTCTTCAAGCTATCATTTCCTCGAACTGTATGCAATTAATTTTAAACTACCAGAAGAATAAATGAATCATATTACTTCAAAACAAACCACCTAATAATCTCATAACCAAGTTATCTGGCCTGACCTGGATGGCACAGGCTAGTCAGATTTCACTGGATCTCAGACACTAAGCAGGGTCAGCCCTGGTTAGTACCAGACCGCTAAGGAAGTCCAGGGTTGCAACACAGGAAGGCAATGGTAGGCCACCTCTGAACGTCTCTTGCTTCGAAAACCGTATGGGGTTTCCCTATGTTGGCTGCTTCTTGACAGCAATTCCTACCACCAGCAATCCCACTGTTGTCTCACAGCTGGCTGTTCAAACATTTTCCTATGTTCTACTGAACTGAATCTACAAATTGCCTATAGCCGTATAATGACATGATGGGAAAAACAAGTATACAAATCTGTTCAATGTTGCAACAGGGAGGACTAATCAGGGAGACTGTAAGGACCTGAGAACCAAGTTATGTTATTCACCTCTGATGTTGTAAGTGAAAAAGCTATAGCTATTCTGGCCCTGTTGAGACAACCTGGTGGTACTCCTCTAGGACTGAATCAGTCAGCAGGCTTGCAGACTCTCTTAGAAGCTGGAAGGGGCCAGGAAAGTTTATAGGCTCATCTTGATTGTGGAATAAGATACAGCAGCAGTAGGAAACAAGCAGTACCAGACAGATAAAGGCAACAGCCAGCCAAGGCTGACAAAGAACCCCAACCATGACACACTTTGATAATTCCATCATATACTTTGGCTAAAGTCTAGTGTCATCCACTAATACACAATCATGTCTCGCATCAGGTTCAACTTGCCGTAAACTCAGCCTGCTGCTTCCAAGAAAAGATTCTTGCTACTCACATATAACTGCTTCCCTCATCTGTTGCCCTTGTGCTTCCAAGTTGATTATGAAATGCTTTGTTATAAAATAAACTGAAGATGCTAGCGCTGGCATTTAAAAGCCCCAACACAGCTTGAAGACAGGTTACATTTGTAAACAACCCCTTCATAAAGAAGAAGAGAAGAAGAGATTGGATTTATACCCTGCCCTTCACTACCTGAAGGAGTCTCAGAGTGCTTTACAATCTCCTTTCCCTTTCCCTCCCCACAACAGACACCCTGTAAGGTAGGTGGGGCGGAGAGAACTCTTTCAAGCATGGCTCACAAGGGAACAGCTCTGAAAGAACTTGTGACTGGCCCAAGCTGCATATGGAGGAGTGGGGAATCAAACCTGGTTCTCCCAGATTAGAGTCTATGCTCCTAACCACTACACTAAACTGGATCTCTACACCAAAAGCAAGGTCCCAGTATCTCTTTCCTTAATTCTAGACCTAGGATTGTACTTTGGATGCACAGGGAGAACTATGCAATTTATTAGAGCTAGTCTTACTTCTAACAACTAAGCCATGGGTTAGCACTTGGAGTAGGCAATTGCTAGACTACCAAACTCTACTCTGAACGGCATGCAACTGTATTTACCTTTAGGTTTCCCTGACACTGAAACCAAGGAATATCAAGATACACAGTATGCCCACATAAATTCCACTTGAAAGACTTCATGCCAAAAAAATTGACATTCAAAGTACTGCAGGACAAACACCCCCCAAAGAGTTATGACAGCATTGTTTCTACCTGGGCTCACTAATTCAACCAGTAATGCAGAGGATCCAAATACCTCATAATTTTGCTATCAAGAACAGACCATCCAACCATACTGATAGGTAAAAAGTCAGCTGACTCAACTGAAGGCAGAAGATACACACAGTTAACATAATCATAGAAGTACAACTAGTGCTACAAACAGCTTAGACAAACTTGGGTTATCAAAAGAACAAATCAATGCTTAAAACCAACACCTGCCTAAATAAACTAGTTTGAAATGCCTATCCCATGAGGATCATCATTTAATATAAGCCTGTCATTGAGCAATATGAAGTGTACTGTTCCTGACATGAACATAACCTGCAGTTGACCAGGTCAATAGAAAGCAAGTTGCTCTAGACTGTCTATTTGTTCAGAATTGCTGAGCCTGGGACTTTTGCAATTCTGATAAAAGGAAAAATAAGTTACACATTGTATTACCTACCCTATAACACGGTTGTTGTGCAATCTGGAAAGCTTATACGTGTGGCTGTGATCAATGCTCCAAGTTGTGGAGTCTTGTGAGCAAAAATTCTACTTTGGGAGCTATTGGCACTAAAGTTGTGAGAGGGCATTTTGGCTATTGCATAAATCAGTTTGCTCTGGAGCCATCCTTCCTAAGGTAAGAAAAAATGTGTGAGCCAGAGGCTAAAAAACTGTGAGCTAACTCACACTAACTCAGCTTAGAGGGAACACTGGCTGGGATAGACTCTGTAAGAAATGACCAATTGTATCTCATCTTCATAGAGATGTGGGGGTCTGTCTTGTCTTCCCCGCCCCAAGGAAGTCATGCTCTGTCGGGAAGAGGCAAATTTGGTCTGCCCAGAGAAAAACTCTAGTGGAGACAAGCCATAGGGAATCCCGCAGTTCCAAGTAGCTACTGTAACATTTTTGCACAGAAAGTTAGGTGACCAGACACAATGAGGTGGATTCAATCATCCTCCAAAGGAAGAGCCACTTAAGTTGGAGGAAGGCTCCTTAGATTGAAGAAAGACTTCAGACTCAAGAAAAGGGTAGGATCCACCCCAGTATATACACTATAAAGCAGGAACATATCTGCCAACTGATTAAAATTTGGGATGACCTGCTGTTTCCAGTTTGGTGTAGTGGTTAGGAGTGCGGACTCTAATCTGGGAGAACCAGGTTTGATTCCCTACTCCTCCACATGCAGCTGCTGGTGTGACTTTGGGTCAGTTACAAGTTTTTTTCAAAGCTGTTCTCTCACAAGCAGTTCTTGAAAGAGCTCTCTCAGCGCCATCTACCTCACAGGGTTCTGTTCTGTGGCCCTCAGTGAACCGTATCAGTGGGTTCAAGACCAACCCAAGATGTTCTTTTTCCCTGTTTACTTAAATTATGTTTGTATTTTGTAAGGTACTTTAGGTCCCTACTGGGGAGGAAAGCAGGGTAAAAATGTATATTTTTAACTTCATTTATGTCCCATCTTTCTTCCCTATGTGGACCCAAAACCGTTTTCATCACTTTCATTGTCACCCTTTTATCGTCACAAGAACCCCATGAAGATTGACTAAGAGTATGTGACTGGCCCAAGGTCAGCCAGCAAGCTTCCATGGCAGAGCAGAAATCTGAAACTAAATCCAACACTAACCACAACATCACACTGACTCTCCATGAAATGAAGATTCAAAAAATTCAATGTAATATTTAGGTATGATGCGGCTCCTCAGTTTCCTTAGATATACAATTATGAACATACTCCTCTAAAACTACAGGCACATCAAGCACCATGATTACCAATTTGAAAAAGTGTGCCTTGCACACGAAAAGCTCATACCTTGAATAAACCTTTGTTGGCCTTAAAAGTGCCACTGGACTCTAAATTTGTTCCAATGCACACTACTGTAGTCAAACCATGCATCCCTTCACCTGCCATCCACTTTGCCTTTATATTTTACCCAACTTCTGCACCAAAATAATGGACACCCAAAGCTACTTATAGAAATGAAAAACTACAATGTGTCTCAGTCCAAGTACAAGTGAAAAATGCCTGGATGCTGTCTTTTGTCTCTCTGGCATCACTTTACAGTTTTTCTGAAAAAAGTTTACTGCTCAACTTAACAGCACAGCTGTTTGTCACAAAGAAAATAGCTTTCCAGGTCCACATCATTAGGATTTCTTGTCATTCCCAACAGAGGTCTTTGTTTTACATAGAACAAGTTCAAGGTACAAATATGGAAACTTGATTCAACCCATGAGTACAGTATGCTTTGCCAATTATTTAGCTCCACCTCCAGGCCAAGAAGGCAGAATAGCGTTTAGGGAGAATGCTTAAATAGCCGTCTCTTCAACTGCATCCTGAAGCAGAATATCTCCTGCAGTTACATATGTGCAAGTTCCCAATTTGACTACAAATCAAGGTAAGTCATGACAGCTGGTGTGCAGTGATGTGGGCTTGCTGGGAAAATATTGATTAATTAGGGCATTGTAAAATGTTCCAAAGCATGACCTGATTTAGCATATTTATTTTTTACTGATCTTGTAAACTGCATTTTAAAGCAACCATGCTAATGTTACGTCCCAAGATGAATACTCACACTGAAATATGATTAGCACAACAGTAGTTGAGTACAGTTCAAATGTTATACTCAAATTTAAAGCTTTATGTGGAAGATATTTTTAATCAAAATATTTTAAGGACAATACAGCATGTACTTCCATTTCATTGTTTAGATTTAAGAAAAAAACTAAGGACACTGAAAATTGATGACATTAATTTTACTGCATCCAAAGAACTTAGCAAGATATGCCTTGAAGATAAGTGTCCACGTATTTCAACAGAATTTAACTCTCTTCCACAAAGTTCACTGCAATTTCACTTTTAATCTTCAGAGCATCACTTGTTCGTTCCTTATCACATTGAGGCAAACCTCATTCAGAACTACTTGAACACCACAAGTGTTTCCAAAAGTATGGTTTTATCAACCATTCTATGGGCAAGGGCAACTTATCACACTACTTATTGTACTTGTTTTGACTCTTCAGAAGCAAGAGATCTTGAGAAACAATCATTTGTCTGTTCTTTTTGCCTTGATTGAGCTGGAACCCTATTTCTACTCACAAGTGTCCTTTGCAAACACACAAGGTCCCCAGCTCAAGAGAGAGGAAGAAAGAGCCACTGCTCTGTGTTTTCTGAAACTAAAACAAACATTAAATCAGAATGGGCTTTGCTTTCACCTACAGTCAAAGATGGATTTTTAGCTTTGATTCCAATCTCACATGCACAACCATCAGGTAAATTTATAACTTTACATTTTCATTTAGATTAAGTGCATTTGTGGTTTTCCCACACCCACCCCGTATACAAATCAACAAAACATACATAAATTACCTAAATAGCACTAATTAGAGTTTCAAGACTATTGTATCAGCAATGGCATCCATTAATTTATGATTAATGTTATGAAAACATGGATCTTTAAAAATGGAAGGTTTCCCACAGAAACAAAGTACTGGAAAACATTTCCACCCTGCACCTAAGCAGTGCTCAAGGTTGCTATTTTTTAAAATGATGACACAGCAGCACGTGAAAGCAGAGAAGGTTGAGGTCTGCTGCGCTCAAGACTGGAGGAGTGAGAAAGAACAGCACACATATTCATGTGGCAAATGAGAAGAATTCTAAAAGGTGGGCTCTGCCACTTCTGTCAGATCAGGCGATGTTAGAGAGGTATTGCAAATAGAATCCAGAGAGGAAGACAAAGGTCAATAAGCCCTGTTATAAAAAAGGTACAACAATCAGGAACTGTGGTCCCCAGTGTTCTCACCCATGGGTAAAGACAAGGTATAGTAATTCCATAGTGTGGCCATACAACAAAAATAAACCAGAGTCCTGTGACATCTTCCTCATCTTACAAGTATATGCTGGAATAAAGTTGTGTTACTTTAAGGTGTCACAAGATTCCTGTTTACTTTCATCTAGGATCTTCCACCAGTTTAATACCTGATGCTGGAAGAGTAGGAAAAGAATTGGTCATCAGTTCCTCTTCCACTTTTAGACTCAAACTGCTTTTTAAAATTTATATCCTGCTTTTCTCCCTTGTGGAGATCCGAAGTGGCTTATCATACTGTTCTCTCTTCCCTGCCTCTATCCTCATGGCAACCACCCTGTCAAGTAAGTTAGGCTGAAAGACTGTAATGGGTCCAGAGTCACCCAGCAAGCATCCAAGGCAGAGCAGAAATTCTGCTCCATTTGTCCCAGATCTTAGTCTGGCACCATAACCACCACATCACTCCAGCTCTCACTGATCCAGTAAGTGACAAACAGCAGAGAAGAGCTATCTCTAATCATTACGTTCCCTCCCAGCACCCACTGGCAGGCTACAGGCTGCAGCAGACCCACCACTTTCACCTCCAACAGATTTTATTTCAGTAGGAGCCTCTGTGATGTAACAAGTAACCTAATTTGTTATCTCAAAGGGAAACGCTTGCCATATTCACACTCACATCCAGCTCTCTGCATGTGACATGACACTGTACTTCCCTCATTTTACATCTTCCATGACTAGAGAGTCTCACATACCAATTCTGAACTCATGCATTTGGAAGTCCCACTGGATTCAATGACATTTCTAGATGTGCTTAATCAATCTTACCTGATTTTCCCAGATTAAATTAGAATGGGAAGGAAAAATTTAAAACAGCAATCAAGTTATTTAATACTCCTTCCCCATATTTAACAAAGTCACTACACACTTTCCTGAGACTGAAGTCTAAAAATCATTTTTCTAGTTAACTATTACTAGTAGAGCACTCAAATCATTTTATGTATCACAGTAGAATAAGGCAAGCAGGGCAGCCTCAAAGTTTTGTAGGAATCAAATCTATTATGATTTTAACAGGCTACTGACAGTAGATGGAATTCTCTAAAGAACAGATGCAAAATACAGTCTGCGGAAAGGATATGGTGTGCTTTCCCATAAGCCATGTAAACAGACAATACCTGTAACAATCTTTAGTACAACCCCTGAGTGTATTAGATTTTTAAATCTAGATGTCAGAAAAACAGGAACAGTATTTCCAATTTTGATATAGCCTGAACGCTTACATTATAAGCTTTCCAGCCTAATCCTATGCATGTTTATTCTGAACTTAACTTCAACTGATTTCAGTGACTTACAGGCAGCCTTTGTTTTTCTGCACAAGGCTCGGCACACAAACATGCTCAACAGGATGAAATATCAATGGGTCAAAACATTCATTTTACACCCCAACCTAGCCGTTCAAAAGCAAGAAATTGCAAGTAGATAAATAGGTACCACTTCAGTGGGAAGGTAACAGCGTTCCGTGCACCTTGGTGTTTAGTCATGTCATGCCGGCTAGATGACCACGGAAACGTCTTCGGACAGCGCTGGCTCTTCGGCTTGAAACGGAGATGAGCACCGCAACCCTAGAGTCGGATTCGACTGGCTTTCAAGCAAGGGAACCTTTACTATACTTTCCCCTCAGTGACATGCTCATGCAAACAAGTCAGTGTATGGAACTACAAGCACATTAGAACCTCATGACAGAAATGTGTGGTGTTATGTATCTTTGTACTGGCTGCAGTGATGAGCATCTCCCTTCCCCATCCCAACACTTTACATAGTAGTTCGACACATAGAACTTGTTTCCATCTGTGTCTTACACAATCTAGATCAGAGCATTTAGAATTTGGCCAATATTCCTAAATGTGTCACTGTATTATTTACTTATGTTTATTAGCTGCTATGACCGAAAGTCTTAACCTCAATTATCAAACATAGATAATGTGTCACTGTATTCAAGAAAGTTTACAAAGAAAAACCTTAGCAAAATCAGTGAAGTTTTTACACTAGTCTATGGCCAACTTTTGAGAGCAGACTTGTGCTCCAGGTATGAATGCCTAACCATACCCATTTTGGGTTCATGCGGTGCACAAACAGTTCTGGGTCTCCCAAATGTAAAAAAACCCCACAGCACTACAGAAACAGGTGACAAAAAATAGCTTTGTCAAAGAAATGTTGACACTGACAGACATGTTTTCAGTTAAAGGTTACTATTAAAAGCAGTCAGTCTTTTCTTCTAATACAGGAAATTAAATTAACCTATATCCTTTTACTACCATGGCCAAAATAAGAGGCCTTTTAAAGCTGAGTGCTAGGTCTTCAATACAGCACTCACTATAGCAATAAACTCGACCTTCTGTATTGAATGAACTGTTATAGCATGAAAGTGTTGAACTATACTGAATATGGAATCAGTTAAGACTTGAGGAATTTTTTCTTCCCTTCTTATTACATGCCCTTTTAGCCCAATTTTTTCATAAGTCATTAATAACCCAACCAAGTCAAAGGAAGCTTAAAAATAGGACTTGGGTTTTTTAAGTGCAGACCAACAGGGTTCAGGCTGGCCTTTCGGAATCTGTGTCTAAGGTTCAATCCCACTGAAAACTGATGTTACAACTAAGTTGTAGGCCATTAAGGTGCCAAAAAGGCATTTAAAATACAATTAAATTGTGCAGGTCCCTTGATGCCAAGCTCCGAATTTCCAAATATCACAAATCACTAAGAATAGTACCCACGCAAAACATACCTCTGTGAACAGCTCTCTCGACAGTGTGCAAAGGAAGGGGCACCTTACCCACAGTAACTGCAAACTCCCACAACTCCTCAAAGAGCAGATCACGAACAAACACACAAGCCTATCCTGCCGACAAGGCTCCCCCCTACAACACCCCCTTCCTTTAGTTGCTACAGGTCACGTAACAGGCGCGCCCATGCAAATCCTCACCAGACCCCAGAGCCAAACCGACTGCCCTCCATCACCCTCTCGCCTCCGCTATTCCCCGGCTCCTTGCGGCAGGACGACAGGCACAGACTCCCACAGGTCTCCTTCAAGCACCTCCAGAGCAGAAAGCCTCCCGTGCTCTCCGGGCAGCACATCCCTCCTTCACCGGGCGGGCGCCGCCGTCCCTACCGTACCTGTAGTAGCTCAGCAGACCGTTGCTGAGCACGAACCATCGGCGCTGGTACCCCTTCAGATAGTTGGTCCACTTGAAGAGCCAGCCCTTGTAGGTGTCAGAACCGGGCCCGGCGACGGGCGGGGGGCCCTCGGAGCTCGCCGCGCTCAGGCTCATGGCGGCGCGGGAGGGCGGCGGCTGCTTGCAGGCCAGGCAGGGGACGGCGCTGAGCAAGGAGACCAGCCCGCGGGTGCTGCTGCACGACGCCGCAGCCGCCTTCCCCATAGGCGCCACTGCGCCCCCCCGATCCTCCCTCCAGCTTGCCTCACTCAGCTCTGCCGTCCTGCCCAGCCGCCGGGACTGAGGCGAAGGGGGCGTGGCTTCTCGCACGTGACGGTGCCCGGCACGCCCTTCTCGCCTCGGCACGTGACGCCCAGCTGGGAGGAAGGAGGAGACGGGAATGGCAGGACAACACGTCTCGCCTTCTCGCTTCCCCACTCCGGGGGCGAGGGGGGCGGAGCCTCCGGGTTCCTCGAGAATCCGCAGGCCCTCTGGCGGCGGAAAAGAGAACCCGGGCCCGGAGTGCTCTTGAAGCGAGGGATCCTGGGAAAGGGGCGGGGCTCGTGAGGGGGGGAAAGAGCGGGAAACTCTGTGTTGCTTTAATAGTGGGCTTTCCGAGTAGAGATGACGCGGTTGTTTATCTCAGGGCATGCGTGCCTGATAGTGTGGTGAAGGTCCCCTTTACTCTTCCTTGCCAAGGGCTCCAGTCGAGTCCAGTCGCACTTTAGAGGCCACCGGGGGGGGGGGGGGGGTGAGCTTCCGAGAGTCAAAGCTCTCTTGACTTGGAAAGGTAGATTCAGGTGAGGTAGCCGTGTTGGTCTGAAGCAATAGAACAAAGTTTGAGCCCAGTGGCACCTTTGAGAACAACAACAGTTTAATTCTGGGTATTAAACTTTGTTGATCTTGAAGGTGCCACTGGACTCAAACTTTGTTCTGTTGGTTTGGCAAGGGTAATCGAAGAGGAAAACCGTGCAGCTGAGGAGATTTGTTCCTCTCAGTTCTGGGTCACCCCAGTGCTAAGGAGTAAAAAGGATTTTCCCGTGGATCAGATGTGTGGTAAAATGTGAGGGTAACACATCGACAGTGGGGGTATGCCATGGCTGTAACTATGATTTTTCCCAGCCAAGGATGATGATGATTATTATAGGCTTTCTAAATTGGGGACAGTTTCCATTGAAAAAATAGGGTCTTATTTCTAGAACCTGAATATTTAAGCTGGTGATACTCCCCCCCCCCCCGGGTGGTACTGGAGTAGGGTTGCTAACTTCAGTTTGGAAAATTCCTGGAGATTTGAGGTTCATGCCTAGGGAGGGTGGAATTCAGGAAGTAAATTTTGCTGAAATAGGTCATTCTAGGACATATGCTTCACCTAGAATCTATACCATTGCTAGGGTTGCCAGCATGAGGCTGGATGCTCACATGGGTATTAGGGCCCTCGCCAGTGATGTAATAACATCACTGCTGATGTAATTTCCTTTGCAACCAGAAGTAATATCAGAATGTTGCTAGAGATGCTACGACATTTGTGCATAACTGGTTTAACCATAGAGTTTTGTCCAAATTCTAGAGCATCTTGCTCATTGATGTGCTGGCATTGCTTCCAGTCACATGGAAAGTGACATCAGCATGTCAAGGCATTGGGCTCCTTTTATTGTGTTTTATTTTTCTGACCCTAACAGGAACCTTGGAAGCATAACCATAGCTTGCAAAATTCCTGGATGTTAGGGAGCAGGCCCTGGGGAAGCTGGAGTTTGGGGAAGTGGAGTTTAGCTGGCATGTGATGTCTCTGTCGGACTTATTATTTTTCTCCTAGGTTTTATGGTGTACTATAGAGTCCACCTTCCAAAGCTGCCATTTGCTCTAGGAGAACTGTTTTCGAGAATTCCAGGCCCCATCTTGAGGTTTATAACCCCGTACTCCAGACGTGTCCGGGTTCAGTGAAGATTTTCCAAAATGCCATTACTTTTATCATGCTTAAGTGATAGGTGGGTAAGTCCTAACTTAGATATTATGATGAATTGTGGTTGCCAATCTCCAGGTGGGTCCTGGAGTTCTCTCAGAATTACAACTGATCTCCAAACTACAGAGATTAGTTCCCCTGCAGAAAATGGCAGCTTCAGAAGGCAGAGTGTGGTATACCAAAGATTCTACACACAGTCCCTTCACAAATTCTTTCCTGCAGAGGTACCATCCCAAATCTCCAGGAATTTCCCAGGCTAGTGTTGGCAACCATGTGTTTACTTAAAGAAGGGTGGTAATTATAAATAAGATAAAATGCCTGAACTTCAGTTTCTTATTTGGCACACATGTTTCTAATGCTGTAATCCAGACAAAATATGGAGGCTCTTGATCTTGGTAACAGGGCTGTAAATATTTATGCTAACATTAAAAGGAATTCACTGATGTTTTTCCCCTATTGCTTTGAAGCCCCTTCCAAAAATGACACTAGCTTGTTACTCTTTCTGAAAGATCACTGACCCTATTAATCCCCACTTACCATTTGGAAACAGTTTTTTCATGAATGACTACCTATCCCAGAGTGTCTTTCCATTTCTAGCCTTACCCCATAATCGCCTATCAAAATGGATGTGTGCTGCAGTTCAAAATTGATTGAATCTGAGTTGCAGTTATTGTATAATAACCATTTAGTATGGTCCATATGACCTACTGCAATGAAAATCCTGGCAGCAGCATTCTGTGCCAATTGAAGTTTCCAAAAACATTTCAAGGGCAGCCCAAGGAACAGTTGTAAAGCACCCATGTAACTTTATTGTCTGCATCCTGTGGTGCCCAGCAAGAATGTGAATTTGCTTCTGGCTAAAATGGTTCTCTGTATCCCCATTAGTGTTAACCTTTTCTCTAAATTCCATTGTGGGTTGATAGTGCTTCCAGCACTGGGGATTTTCCCCTCCTCCAAGTGTGTGCAATGTTAATCCCTGTCTAACAGGAGCTCAGGTAAAGATGCCAGCCTCCAGGTGGGACCTGGGGATCCTCCAAAATTACAGCTCATCTCCAGACTACAGAGATCAGTTTCCCTAGAGTAAATGGATGCTTTGGAGGGTGGACTCTATGGCATTGTACTCCACTGAGGTCCCTGTCCTCCCCAGGTTCCATCCTGGAATATCCAGGAGTTTTCCAACCTGAATCTGGCAACCATAGCACTCCATCTCCTGCTAGTAGCTGGGGGGACATGGCAACCCTAAACTCAGGTTGCCATCAAACCACAATTGTGTCATCCAGATGCTGCCAGATGAGTAAGCAGCCAAAAGTAGTTTCAGTATGGAGTTAGGATGAAGTTCAGGCCCCCAGGCCCAAGTGCTGCCTGTTTATTCACAAACTTCAAATGAACAAATGTATTAACTCACAGGTAGATTAAAATAATATACATACAATAAAATGTAAATGAGCCTTCTTGTGTTTTTAAGTCTTTGAATCAGCAAGGAAAAAAGGTAATACAGATAAATATACAACTGAATGCGCAATTAATGGCAAAGTCAGGTGAACTCAGAGTTGTCTCACAGTACAAGCCTAAACAGAGTTACATCCTTCTAAATCCATTAAAGTCAGTGGGCATATAAGTGTACAACTCTGTTTTTGATTGCACTATCTGTCCTTACCACCAAAGATGCAAACTCCACCCAGGAATGAAGGTTACACTATTTATATATTTTAACCTAGGTTTATGCCTGAGTTGGTTGTACTGTTGACAGTTAAGGTATATTCTGGGATCTGAGCGATATGCAGGTTACAGTCAGCTTTTCCCTGAGAATTCCTGGATGAATGGAGATGGTCCATTGTACTATTTCACACAAAACTCGCCATCCATTCCAGGTAAATCTGAAAGTATCAATATTCACAGATCCTCTGATTTAAAAAAAAAGAAAGACGTCTAAGCCCCTAGTTCTCAAGAAAAAACACTATTTTAAGTTTCACTCTTATTTGATCGTTCTCTCATCTCAGCCCCTCCGTTCAGACAGAACATAGCAGGCTGGCTACTTAAAGGCTGAGAACACAATCCATGTGATACCTTTATTAGGACCAGCCCAGTGACATGTACAAGTATGCAAGGTTAGCTTTTTGGATTTTAGTTTTGGACCAACACGGCTGTAAGCAATTTGGTTACTTAAAAGGGCTGCTTGTCTTACAATTAAATCATGATATTCCTACATGTTATAGTTTTATTTGGTTTCCAGATATTTCATAGTAATTATTGCGCTATTCTTTTGACAGACCAAATTATAACACAGAAAAAAATAAAGAATTACTTCATTTTCATGTATTTTTGATTTTGAATAGCAGACATCCAATGTCTATGAGAAAACATGCTTCTGAAACTAACATAATAACTCTTAGTGTTTATCTTATTTTAGTTTTTGTACAATACGAAGACTACGCTCTCAATATTTTCCAGAGATTTGTCATTATTATTATGCAATCAATGTAGTTTACGATTAGATTTTGATAGAGAGGGAGGCTCAGGATATAGAAAATGAATCACAGTGGATTTATTTTAAGTGATTTACTGTAATCCTAAACTCAGTGACACCCTTGTGACAGTGCAATCCTATTAGGCTTACTCAGAAGTAAGTCTCCAACTTATTCTGTGAGGCTTACCTCCAGCAAAGTGTGCACAAGATTACACTGAAACAGTTCAGAAGTTGAACAACAGATCTTAAGCAAACCTATACATTCTCAACGGCATTGAAGTCAGTGGACTTAGAAGAAGCAGAAGCAGCCCTAGGTTAACAGCCAGGCTATTCCCCTCCCCAATGATTTTGGTCCCAGAGAGGCCTCGGTTCCGTGAGAGGTCATTCTGGCTCCCCCAGCTCTCCTTCCCGGCTACTTAAAAGGTTATGGCGGCAGCTGCGACACCCGCGTGGGGGGAGGGGAGGGGCGAAACATTCCCTTGCCTCCCTGAGCCCCGGGATGGTGGCCTTGGACTCGTAGGGGCAAATTCCATCTCTCGCGTCTGATGTCCGAGCTTGGACATCAGACGCAAGAGGTCAATCTGGGTCCCCCAGCTCTCGGAAGGGGCTCTTTAAAAAGTTATGGTAACTTTTTTCCCCACCATAGAGAACAATGGAGGGGATAGGGGCAACCTCTTTGGGGTCCTGTACAATTGGACCCCCTAGTTCAATGTTCCTGAAACATGGAGGGTATCTTGGGGAGAGGCTCCAGCACCTACCCTGCGATTTTGGAGCCTCTCCCTCAAACCCCCCCCCTCCAGCCCCCAGAATATACCCTATGTTTTCGTCATTGACTTAAATGGCCCTTAGGATATAATGGGGCAGAACTGCGGGAAGCCGATTCAGATCAGAGAATCTGATTCGGCCCGCAGCCGCCTGAAAGGGGCCCGAATGGCCAATTTTCGGGGGTGCATTCGGATGCACATCCCTCCAGCAGCCGGCTCGCTAGGGCTCTCTGCAGCCGCGGGGATCCTGAGCAAGGGAAGGGAAGGTGGTTTAAACCGCCTCTCCTTCCATCCAGCAGTTAGCTTGCTCGGGCTCCCTGAGCAAACCAAGGGAAGGGAAGGTGGCAGAGCAGCCTCAGCTCCACAAGTAATGAGCACTCGAGCCCCGCCCCCAGCAGCCCTCAGGCCGGAGCACCTGGAGCAGTCTTGGGAGGCGGATTGGCAAAAAGCAAAACCAAAAGCGCAGGAAGTCGAGAGAACTCCAGGAATGGAGCCGGTTCCTCTTCCACAGCCCAAAATGCGACCCACGAACCCTGAGCTTGCTTTTTCTCATTTGTGAGTCTGGCCTCCGCACTCCTTTAACGTGGCAGCCCTGAAGCTTGTGGCGGCAGGAGTTTCTTTGCACGCAGCTTGTGCAGCTGGCTGAGTGCCTCTTCTGCTTGCCCACCTCTCGCCTCTGCACCTCATCTTCTGCCAGGCATGGAGGAGCCTAGCTCGATCAGGCTTCTT